GTGTATGTGCATATGCATGTGTGTGTGTAACATACCTTGTGTGTATGTGTATATTGTCACGGGGGGTGGGCCGGGGCTTTGCTAGAACTCAGCCGCTAGGGGCTCAAAGGCCGAATACTCAGGCCCTCCGACTCCCGGGATTCACCGGAGAGTCCTTGGTCACACAGAAGAGGACCAACAATGCCCACCTCTGCAGGTCTTTGCTTCCACCACAAAAAGGGGGGTGCCACTGATTCACCCTGGAAGCCCTTCAGTCAAACACGGGGAAACTGCTGTTAACAGTTCCGGCCTAGACCCGTGGAGGAGTGAAGGAAGACTCAGGCTTACCTTATAACCCTCCCTGAGTCTTGCCTGCCAGACAAAAAGGTTGCAGGAAGTCCTTTCCCGCCTGTCTTCTCTATCTTCCTCTTAACAAGGTCGCCAGCTGGGTTATTGTATCTGCACCCCAGCGATGCAGTTCAGTGGGTGTATTATATATTGTTTGTTGCCGGAAGGTTGCTACTCCCATAGATCTGCTATTGGACTGTCGGCCCAGGGTACTCTCCCAGGAAGGTCTGTATGGCTTTACCTCTCTCTAGCCACTACGTTACTAGTTGCCACCATTCAGACACTGATACTGATCGGATGGCTAAGGGTACACTTTTATATAAGTCTGTGCTGTTTTTACCACTCTACAGGCAATAAGAACCTCTATAGAGAACGTGGTGTTCCCTAGGTGGTACTATGATAACCTTCGTGTATGCTCATAGAGAAATATTATAAATGGAGGCACACTTAAACACAATGATAAAATGTGTGAATTTACTGATGCAAATTACATGAACACACATACAATCACAAGTAATACATGAATATGAAAATAAGGATAATAAGTCTGGAGATCGTCAGCCTCTTCTTCTTCCACGACCTCCAACACTCCTTCAACTGGGCAGAAAGACAGGAGTCCCCCACTCTCTCACAGGAGGGCCTCTTCACCATGTCGGCACCTCTTCTTAACTGTCCTGCTGTCCGTACACACTGTCCTCTCTGACAGTCTTGGACACAAGCTGCCTTGCAGCCTATTCTACTACTAAAGTATTAATGTCATATTGCCACATACATAAGTAAATATTGTGGCCTAACTAGCCTACTCACACAAGGGGTAATGGGAGGGAAATTTGATCTACCTTACATTCCTGGCTCACGACGCCTGTCCCTCGATGGTGTGAGGTTCCCACGCTTCCTGAGTCGATCCTTGACGATCCAGGAACGTTCCACAGGTCCTCAGGTGTCGTGAAGCCTTCGCGTCCTCGCCGTTCCAATCCCTGAGATTCAGCTACTCCAATCCTGGTTCATCAATGGGCACTGAGCTAATCACTATTTTCCCACACTCGCCCCTTCCACAAGGCGTTGATCCTTGTCCTAGGAACAGTGTCGTCCTTCCAAAACTCTCAGTGGATGTGACCCAGTCACAGCTAGGCCTGCCCGCCACACCTTTCCAGGCCCTCAACGTCCAGCGTCACCGCCCAGCATCGTCGCCGAATATTTTCCAAGTTTGGCACTCTTTTGCTCAATAAACTTGGTTCCTTTTTGCTTCCCAGAAGCGTGGGGTCTCCAATACATAAGATGGGCTGCGATGGCTAGCTCTAATCCACTAAGAAAGGCTTGTAGAGCCTCAAATCCTTGAGAGCTGACCGAGGTGCGTTCTCTTGCCTTCACGGTCAGGTCAACTCTCACGTTGCGCCGCCTGGGGCACTCAGTGACGTCACGGCGGGCTCTGATTGGTCGCCCGCGACCTAAGTCGGCCAATCCACGATCGGCTAGTGTCCCTTCCAAAACGTCATATCTGCAGTAGGGGATACTCTTTCATTTTATATCGAGGCGCCAATTTTCCCTTGCTTACAACTTATAATGTAACTTTCTCCCTTAACTGGCGGCCGATCTGGTCGCCACATATACCAACAGACTTCCCTGTACCTCAGAGAAACAGTAGGGAGAGTTGATATGACTCTTAAAGCAGGCAAACGAAAGAGATAGGAGAGGGCACCGTAACAATATATACATAATATGTATATATGTGTATGGTCTCACCTTCGGCTGTTCATGAAGGGGTCCCGGGTTGCTCGGTGGATGCTCGAGCAGTTGTGCGGGAGTCTGAACTTCGGCGTGCTGGTCTGCCCGCGGGGTCGGGTTTGGCTTCGGGGTCTGTTTGGTTCCTTCGGAGACTCACCTTTCACCTCTCTTGCAATCGTTGGTTTCGTTCCTCCAGGGATCTTTTGTTGGTGGTGCGTCACCAGCTTCCTCTTTGGGGTTTTCGGGGTTCCATGCCTTGGCACCTCCCCAAGCCTTTGCTCGATGTGTTCACGGACGGGTCATCTCTCGGCCTGGGCTTTGTGACCAGTGCTCACCAGGTCGGCCAGTGATGGTGGGGTCTGTCCGTCCATCGGGCTCTCAACATGGTTCGGTAGTTCGTGACTGTCCGGTTTGCGCTTCTGAGGGTTTGGGTCACACAGTGCTCTACCATTCAGCTCCATTCCGGACTGTTCTCTGGCGGTTCTTTGCCGGAACCACAGGGTTTCTCTTAGGTGTTTGACCTTTGGGGTTGGTCCCTTAGAGTGGCTCATTTGCTGGATTCTCGAGGTTTGGCTAACCGTGAGGTTCATGTCTGGGGTGTGTACTGCGTCCTGGCAGAGAGCTGGCTCGGTTCATTACTCTGTTCGCAGATTGGCCAGTCATTGCCGAATCGTTTCGTAGGCTCTGCCGGACGTATGGACTCCTGGCCATGGACGTCTTCGAGTCGGCGTGGTCTAGGCATCGCCCATTTTATTTATATGGCGCCCTTACCGGCTTGTGAGGCGTTCACTGTGGATGCCTTTCGGCAGGACTGGTCGAGGTGGGGTACCTGTTCCTCTTCTCCCGGTCCAGCTGTTGCTTCGGGTTCTGGCTCGGTTGGAGCCCATTCCCACGAGAGTAGTCCTCATGGTCCCTTGGTGGCCGGTCCAGCTCCAAACCCGGGCATTTTCCCACGGCTCCGCCTCTTTCAGCAGGTCGGATTGGTCCTGTACGTGACGGGTTCGGCCTTCTCCTCGGCTCTTCGCGTCTGGTATTTTAACGCGGGTATCACCATCTGTGGTGATCAGGTGGCTTCATTGACGGTGGCTTTGGTGGTAGGTTTGTATGTTTGCAGCCTTTCTCCGTCCTTATGGCCACGGTAGAGACGGCTGCTTTCGGGAGGGGTCCTTGGGTTATTGATGCTTGATTGGTTCGGCCGGGGGTGGGTCCTGTGTTGTCCGGTTGCGCCTCTTTGCCGTTACCTGCGTACCATGTCTGGGGATGTGCTTTGGGTTGATCCGGTTCCCCTCGTTCCCTGTTTCAGGGCTTGGGTCTCCCAGGTCGTCCGCAGAGTTTTTACGTCTTCCAGTCTGCGGTCTATCCTTGCGCTCATGCTGTTCAGACGTTTGCAGCTCTCGCTGCTGTGTTGATGACGTCTAGGGCTCATTTCGGGCGTGAGGATTTGAGGGTCACACAGGTTCCTGTCCGCTTGTTCATTATGCGCGTGTCTGCTCCTGTGCGTTCTTGTTGCCTTGGGTCGCAGATTGCAGCCTGTTGTCTCGGCTTCGCGTTGCGGGGTTTGTGGCGGCCGCCTCCCGGGTCAGCCCTTTCTTTTCCTTCTCTTTGGGTATGAAGCTCCAGGGAGCCGTAGGGGCTCCCCACAGTAAACCAGTGTTGATTGTAATGAAACGCCATTTTCTGGGTGAGCCCGGAGGCTCCCTGGCAACCCTCCCTCCCACCAGTCAGCATATTTTTTTGCATTGGTTGAAGCTTAGCTTCCGAACTGATGCTAGGCAGCCGGCAAGGTGAGGTCCGGGGCTCCCCCCTCCCCCTCTTGGGGCGGGGAGGGCTGCGCAGACGATCGGCGCGGCAGTAAAGTGTGATGTTTGCTTGTTTGCTTGTTTCCTTGGGATTGTAGGGAGTTTCTACCTCTCTGTTCGGTTTTTTGTTTTAGTTTTTTACCATGTGGGGTTTATTTTGTTATGCCTACCTTTCTGGGTGCCTAACCCCGGTCGATGGCAGATAAGGAAAACCCCAACCACAAGGGGGTTTTCCAGGGCCATTGCTCCCTGAAACCTCTCTGAAGGGGCAAGGTTCTGGCGCTGGTCCCTGGTAGGTCTGAACTCCTTAGCTAATGTCCTGGTCTAATATAACATACATTAGCCCGATAAGCTCCAGGGAGCCTCTGGGGCTCAACCAGAAAATGGTATTTCATTACATTCAACGCTGTTTTTTTTTTTTATGTCAAGATTCTTAAATACCAGTTCAGTACTACATTGATATTGAATTCTTTTAGTAATTTAGAAATTTCATTAAAATTATCCTAAATGACAGAATTACTGTATTCCTAATATTGAATTCTTCTTACCTTTTCAAACTAAAGTTCAGTATTACAAGCAATATGGCTAGTTTCATCAATAGGTGACTGAGGATATTTTGAATTATATAGTATAGGTTTATATTGTATAGTATTTTAACCTATATAGTATAGGTTTCAATTTAAACTACTCTTAAAACGAATAGTTTTACAAAACTTTGGTGGTTTTTCATTGTTGGTGGAGTGCTTTTGGCATTTTTTAGGCTGTTTTCTCATTCTATAAAAGCAGTTGTCTGTCTTGTTTCACCTAACTTTCTGGGTGTCTTCCCCTGGTGATGGTGGAAATTATGATTAACTTTAAATGTAGGCCACTGTTCCTTGTGGTTCTCTGAAAGGAGCCAGGTTCTGGCTCGTGGTCCTCAGTAGGCCTCAGAACTTCACATCTGATAGCACGTAGTAGTTTGGTACTGAGTCAGTGTGATAGCTTCAGGGAGCCTCCGGGGCTCTCCCAAAAATCAGCGTTTCATTACGTTCACCACTCTATTTTATGTACAGTATTACATTTGTCTATATTCAGGTATTTTCTCATGAAATTTTAAGACAAATTTCATTGCTGCTCAGCCTACTGTATTGTTCACTCGTTTGTTTACAGAAAGATGTGTCAAAGAATGCAGCAGAAGCCCTCGAACGAATATCTGTAGTTGCCAAGGGTATCAAAGCTCTCCGAAACACAGCTACTTCTACTGCAGGTATGAGTGACCACAGTGGCAAAATTATATGATCAATGTCTGTTGCTACTGTTATAGGGAAATTAATGATAAAAATATCCGTAAGAAATTTCTGGGAGGTTGAGTGAGAGGGAGGAACACACACACCTATACAGTATCTGCCAATTTTAATGTCTGCCTTTCTGTCTTTTGAGGTTGGCAGCCAGATACTTGGGGGCTAGTTTCACCCACCTTTGCATGCCAATTCCTGTGGGGTATATGCCTAACATGGTCAGGCAGGAGTTGTCATAATTCAAGAGAGAACAGCATGCCATGGTCACATACTGATCCTCCATGGTGATTTTGGCACTGACTGCCTACTACCATCTGGCTAAATGCCATACTCTGAAAACAAAAATTTCAAAACAATTTGCTTTTTTCTGGGGGAGGGGGGGACCCTATCAGCTTTCTGGAGCTTTCCAGGCTGGTAGGGATATACAAGTATTAACTTTCTGGCATCAGTCAATGTGCATGGAGTTCTTGCCTATCGGGGACCACGAGCTAAAACCTGGCCTTCTGAGAGAGGTATAAGGAGCAATGGCCTATAGAAACCCATGTGTGGTTGGGAGCATTCTTTGTCTGCCATTGACCGGGTCTGGCGCCAAGAAAGGTAGGTGCCCCAAAACAAACCTCTACTCTGGTGAAAATATTGCTGCTGAAAGCCAAATGAGTGGGCAGAACTCCCCCAAACTAAAATTAGCCAATAAGCATGATGTCATCACGTTGCCGGGCTGCCGTCTGCACAACCCCCTCTCCCCAGGAGGAGAAAGGGGGAGCCCCAGAACCCTGCGCTGGCGATCCACCCTTCAGTTCTTAGCTGATGTGATACTGGCGAGGTCATGTGCCTCTGGCTCCAGATTTTGTCTCAGTTCTGTGCCTTGTGGCGTGGATTGACTCGTGGAAGGGTACGAGCCAGGAGTCATATTCTTTGGTACTTGGGCTGCATGCGCCTAGGGTTTGCTTCCCTAGGTGCCCTGTAAGTACTGCCCTTGGGGCTTGGGGCCACCTTCCACAAGTCTCCTTGGGTCTTCCTCCAATGTGTCTTGTACTGCTCGGTCCTGCACAGTTATCACCTATTATAGCAGCCGGCTCTGTTCCGCCTTGGTACGTTGTCCTCTTGCAGGGTTTTTCTTTTGTTTTTGTTTTCCTGCCTGAAGGGGGGTCTGCCTTTGATTGGTTGCCCCCTATCTCTAATTAGGGTATATATTTTTACATATCTGCGTTCGGCAGCTCTTGCCATTTCTTTAAAGGCGGGAGGGGGAGGGGTTTGATGGACGGCTCAGTCCCAGGTTCTCAGGGTGAGGATCCCTGGGTTGGGGACGAGTTGACTTGGGCCCCATCGGGGTTATTGTCTGGGCCTTGTAACACCAAGTCCCTCAGAGCGGGGCTTGGTGTTACAAGGTGTGGGGTTCTCTTTTGCTCCCTCCTTGTCCGAATTGGTTTTGGCATCTATTGCCTGCTTTTCCGGCTGCCCCGGCTTTTTCTTGTGAGGACGGGGCTTTGGAGGATGACTCGCCCCCCGGGGCCTGATGTGGAGGTTCCTGAAGTTGGGGAGGAGCTGACTTGGGGGTCTTGGGCCCTGTTGGACCCCACCTGGGTGTTCCAACCTTCAGAGTGGGAAGTTTTCAACTTCCTGGTCTCGCCTACTGAGGTGCGGGTGGCCATTACGGCTTATCTCCTGCGCGACCCGGATTATGCCGCTATAATAGAGCCATCTTCCTTCAGGTTTGGGTCTTCGTCTCCATACTGGGTTTGTTATGAGGGTCTGGAGTCGTCCTGGCTTGCGGACTGCCGGTTGTCGTCGTTGAATGCTTGGAGTGCTTTCTGTCGTACCCGCACACTTGAGTGGCGCAAGGCATTGACGGTGGTCTGGGGAGTGAATTTGAACACCTTAATGCTTGCTTGTTCGCCCCTGCCCTTCTGTGGGATGTGGGCGCGATTCAGCTTCACATGAAGGTTCCCTCCCTGTCGGCTGTGCTTGTGGCTGAGGACTTGCGCACTCGTGGCTTGTTGGCTTTAGTCTTGCATTTCTTTTCCCTCCTAGAGCTGTCGTTGAATTGGCTTGCGGAGGATGTGGAGGCACTTGGGGCTATTCCTGGGTCTGGTGCCTTGGTCTCGGCTGCTCGTGCATCATCTGTGCTGCTGAAGCTGTTTGCGCCAATCTTGCGGGATGTAGTGTTGCAGTTCTTCGCTGCGTGTCTCGCGAAGAACACGCAACAGCAGGTTGTGCTTGCCTCATCCTTGGAATCGGCTTGGTCCCTGGCTCTCAGGTTTTCTTCACTCTTTTGTCCCTTGCTGTTTGCAGACTCTGTGGTTAAGCCATATTTGCAGGTGGCTTTTTCCACCTGTCGTCCGATGTCCGACTTGTTGGTTCTTCGGGGGTTTCCTCTGAGAAGGGTAGTGCCCGGGCAAGGAGTTCCACTCGTTGGGGTAGGCCACAGGTGCCAGGTTCGGAGCTGGCGCTGCCTTCGGTTCCGTCTGCGTCTGGTCGGCACGGTGATCACACTGTACACAGGTTGGGTTCTCATAAGGGGCGTCGGCCCTTTCACGGTTCACCCCATTGACAGGGCAATGGGGGAGGCTTGCTCTGTTCATTCATGCCTGGTCTCATGATTTGTGGGCTTATCAGGTTGTTTCCCCACGGCCTGCGGTGGCATTGATGATGGTATCTAGGTATTTACACCCCCCCCTGCCACCATGGTTACTGATAGTATCTAGGTATTTACACCCACCCGCCACCATGGTGGTGGGGGTGTAAATAACACCATTTAATCAGTTTAACCACCGTGCTGTGCCGAGTTTATTGTGAAATTCCCCCGGTGCGCATAAAATAAAGTGTTCCCAAAAATGTCTTTTTCTTCATAAAATGATAAATTCCCTTCCCTGAACATGTCTATGTAAAAATAAATACCAAATTCCACTTACTTTGGCTTTGTGGATGTGGACAAGGTGCGCTGTGACGTCATCAGGGCCTGGTCGCCTGTGGGTGAATCGCTCAGACATGGTCGCACGGGCCATTCAAGCACCAGATGTTCCCACAAATATATTTTCAATTATTTGTTTTATGTATTTCCAATGCGGTTTTATTTTTTTTTTCTGGGGGGAGCCCCTACGGCTCCCCGGAGCTATCCATGCCTGATATGGATACCCTAACTATTTTGCATCAGTCGATGTGGGTGGAGTTCTAGGCCTACCGGGGACCATGAGCCAGAACCTGGCCCCCTCAGAGAGGCACGGGGAGCAATGGCCCATAGAAATGCACATGTGATTTGGAGCATTCTATATCTGCCATCGACTGGGACAGGCACCCAGAAAGGTAAGCGCCACAAAACAAACCCCTATTCTGGTTAACAACAAAAATAGACAAATGAGTGGACAGAACTCCCCCAGGAAAACGAACTAACAAGCATGAGGTCACGTGAGCCGCGCCGCATGTCTGCGCAGCTCCCCCCTCCCCGGGAGGGGGAAGGGGGAGCCCCAGACCCCCGCGCCGGCGATCCCCGCCCCAGTTCCTCGGCTGATGGGATCATGCACGGTCGTGTGGCTCCAGCTCCAGTCTTGTCTCAGTGCTGTGACTTGTTTGCAGTGCTGCTTTTACGGTGGTCGTGTGAGCTGGGAGTAGTATTCTCAGGTACTCGGGCTGCATGTGCTTAGGGTCACCTTCCCTGAGTGCCCTGTAAGTACCGCCCTTGGGGCTTGGGGTTGCCTTCCACAAGTCACCTTGGGTCTACCTCTGTTGGCTTTTCGCTGCTTGGCGTTTGGCCGCCCCGGGGGTTTGGGGGTTTCACTCCCTTGTTTACCTTGGGGTAAGTGGTAGTTATCGCACTGGTGGGGCGCAGGGTACTGCGTAGCTAGTTTTTACCTATGACAGCGGCCGGCTCTGTTCCCTCTGGGTACGTTGTCCACTTGTGTGGTTTTTCTTTTATTTTTTTTTTTGCCTGGTAGGGGGTTCTTCCTTGTGTTTCCCCCCCCCCTTATATTAGGTTCGTTTGTGTGGCGGCACCCCCTGCTTTGCCCTCGCGAGTGGACACGTCCCGTGGATTCAGCTTTAGCAGTTTGCTTGGTAGTTTGGGGCGCCGGTTAGCAGTACCCTGACTGGGATAACCCTTAGCAGACCCAGTCTAGGGGCCCTGGGAAACCCCCCGGGGGCTCTCGGGTCCGATAGTGGAGACCCTTGCGTCCCCTCTCGCTTTGGGCGAGTTGAGGGTTGCTCTGTCCCTTTGTCTCAGGGTGACTCTCCTTGTTTTTGCCTCCGTCATGCTGCCTGTTGGGTCGGTGACACATTCGACCCTTGAGTCCTGCGAGCTTTGTTGCTTGTTTGTGACTCCATTCACCCAGTCTGCTGATGAATTCCCGTGGGTGCAGGCAGCTCGTGCGTTGCAGGGTAGGATGTTGCAACGCGCACTGGTTTGTTGCTTCCCCGGACGCCCCGATGTTGCCCCGCTTGTGTAGGGACCCAGACTTCGGTAGTTTTGGTCGCTTCGGCCTTGGTTCCTTCCACGCCCTTGTTTTTCCCCCTCCTGCTTCCGGCCCCTACGCATCTGCAGGCTTCGGGGTCGGGGCGGGGTTAGAGGTTCTGAGACTTGGGCAGTTTCAGGGGTTGCCCCGTCCGGGGTAGCTGCGGAGGCATTCGAGTCTGTTCCTCCGGCCGATGCTCCGGGGTTTTGACCAGTGGGCCCCCTTCTCTTTCAGCTCTCTCGGCTGCCCCGGTTTTTTCTTGTGAGGCCGGTGCTTTGGAGGTCGACTCGGCCCCGGGGCCTGGTGCAGAGGCTCCTGGGGTTGGGGAGGAGTGGCCTTGGGGGCCTTGGGCTCCATTGCGCCCTGCCTGGATTTCCGTCCTTCTGAGCGGGGCTTACTGTTGCGAGGAGTGGGGTTTTCTTTCCCCCCTTTGCGTACGATTTGGGCTTGGGTTCTGCTCCTCCCCGGGTTCGGTTCCGTGTCCCTGTGGTTTCTTCGGTTCTGTCTTCCGGAGGTTTTCGGCT